GGTTCTGAGATTGGTTTTGATACAGATAACGTGTTGTAATGTTTTATGGTATAGTGGTACTTTGGCTTTCGCGGGAGGTTGTCCTTATGGACATTAATATTTTAGCGCTTGGTCTTTAGGCAAAGAATCTAATTTGGTTTATTGCCGGTGCATAATATATAATAATATAATACTACTATATAATATAAAGACATAAAACTATATTTATGGCATTTTTCTTGATTTATGAATTGAAATGCTATTCACCAATAAATGATAGAGCCGAGACATATGTAGTATATATCTAAGTTTTTGTTTGAAAGTCTCCAATTGCAAGTGAGCTGTTAAACCCAACATAGAAGGGAACTAGGCAGCTATCATCAACACTACACTTGCAACACATGTTCATACTTACGCCACACAAAAATGCCAGGATCTATATAGAAATATATACTAAAGAGGGAGCCAACATACAAAAAATCTATAGTGTATGTTGAAGATACGTGAATGGATGCTGTAAGTCTTGTACATAGGATTATGCTGATTAATGTACTGTTATGGAAACTTATTGCATTAGGGTTGAGACCAAGACTTTACGATGACAAATTCAAGCTATCAAAGACTTAGATGCAGTGGGAATGTAGGTTGCAAGGTAGCATTGTAACTTATTGATTGATACGAGCGGAGGCCAGCAGTTGAACTTAGAAATGGTGCCAAAGAGCTTTATATTAAGGAGGAACTTCTGTCAACTGCACCAAGTTATTAATGCGTTGGAATGGTAGCACAATGTTGATTTTGAGGAAAAATTGCTGTTATGGGACCTGAATCGTTAATGAGAAAAAGTCTGATTCACAAAGTCTATGGAGTCATTGTCAGACTCTAGTGTCATAGTGGAGTAACTCTAAGTGTTCGGGGCGGTAGACCCGAACATTACTTGTCTTGTATCTTTCCTTGAGTTGTTTGGTAGTCCCGAGACATAGATTTTATATGAAAATGTAGTAGCATTTCTGCTTATTTCATTTGCTCTAATTAATGTGTGTGCGACTATCTATCATAGCGCTTTGTCACATGGAGCATTGTCAAGCAGCGTTGTAGCTGCTATAAGGCCAGCTATCCATCGACACCCGTAACCAACTGCAATGCTATCTAAGATTAAGACTGAACAAGTATTTAAAAGCAAATGTGTACGCGAGGCGTTTTATCTCCTCTGAGTAAAAATTCGATATTCTTGTGTTGACTATGTCATCATTGTACTGGTGGTTACTAAGCATATGTGATACGTATGGATGGTGAACCCATTTTAATGAACTACATTTTTCATAAAATTTAGTAATTCCAAATACATTGTGTGGGTTCATGGTAACACTTATTGGATGGTTGGTATATGTGTCAATGATATATACATTGCTCTTTTTTTCCCCTCATGAGGGAGATAAGCCTGAGGCGTTAAGGTGTGCATTTCGAATTGTGTGTTTTTATATGTGTACACTAAATATTTTAATAATTTAAAATAAATAATATTTAGGTGTAAATTGTTTGTTTAGGTAAATCAAACTTAGTGAATGAATATTCAATTCATTCCCTTTCTATATATTAAGTTAAACATAACTTACAAGGAAGCGCCTAGGCATGAAATCAGGAACAGATATTACAAATAATATGAAAAAATTCTAAACACTGCCCTCAAGCTGGTAAGAATATTATCTCTCATCCAGCTTGCAGAATATCATGAAATGGTGATTCCCAGCCCCTTTGTAGGGTGATCAGCGAGTGTTCACTAGACTTCAAAATGGAGTACATATTGTGCGTAGTGGTTCTCCTTGATGAGTGGACGATCAATTCTCACATGTTTTGTCCTTCATGTTGATTGGATGTGAGCTATTGATGTGCAGCTTTATTATACAAT